GGGTCCCGGGTGGACCGTGGGGCTGGGGGAGGGTCGCCTGTTGCCGTGGCAACCGGGCGGCGATGCTCACCCCCCACCCCCCATTGGGGTCAGGACTGGGCCCCCCCCCGCCAGTGACCCCCAAAAGCCGCAGTGACCCCGACTGAGCCACCTCTGCCACTCACCCCCAACCACCCCAATTAATGCACCCCCAATTAATGCACCCCCAATTGATCCACCCCCAATTAATGCTCCAATTACTTCACCCCCAATTAGCCCACCTCCCAATGCCGGAACAGGGGGTGGGGGTCGCAGAGATGGGGGGTGAGGGGCAGAGGATGACACGGGACAGAGCCCCCCCCTCCCCAGAAGAGCTCCCAAAAACTCCTGCCTCAGTTTCCCCGCTGAGGAAACACGGGGTTCTCTGTCACTGGGGCGGGGCTGTGACCAGGGGGTCTTTGTCACGGGGTGGGGTGGGGGTCTCTGGGGTGGTGGTCCCACGGCCGGGGGGATTTTGGATCCGGGAGGGGGCTGAGGTGTGGGAGGGGGGGTTTACCGGGAGCTGGCGGCAGCAGCGCCGCGCGCTGAGTGACACCGCGGGGACGCGTTGTGACAGCGCCACGGGGGACACGGGGACAGCGACAACGGGCACGTGGGACACGCGGGTGGGACACAGGTGGGACACGGGTGGGACACGGGTGGGACACGGGTGGGACACGCAAGTGGGACACATGTGGGCAGGGAAGGGTGGGGAAGGGCGGGGTCCCACACCCGCGCGCGGTCCCGTCCCCAAACCGCCGCCGCCCCCGCGTGTCCCGCGGGGTCCCCGCGGTGTCCCTCACCCCGTGAGCACCACCACGAAGTCCATGACGTTCCAGCCGTTGCGCAGGTAGGAGCCTTTGTGGAAGGCGAAGCCCAGCGCGATGATCTTGATCCCCGCCTCGAAGCAGAAGATGCCGATGAAGTACGGCTCCGTGTCGTCCTGCGGCGCGGGACGGGGGTCGGGGGATGACAAAAACCTCCGCACGCCCCCCGTCCCCGCGGGGTGAGGGGGTCAGCGCTGCCCCCGGCTCCCTCCAGCCCTCCCCAGGTGGCCCCGGGTGGAGGCGGCGTGGCCCAGATTCCCAGTAAGGAGGAAATTGGGACGCCGGCGGCTCCGGGGGGAACTGGGAATCGTGGCCAGCGTGGGCCAGGTGCGGGCTGGCCACCCCCCCACGCCGGGCATCGGGGCAGGGACACGGCAGGGACCCCGCGGTGGGCTGGGGACACTCGATGGGACCCCCAGGGTGGTCGGGGACCCCCGGCAGAACCCCCAGGGACCCCACCAAAGCTGGTGGCGTGGCCGGGCACCTCCGCTGGGTCTTGCAGGAGCCCCCAGGGCTGGCAGGGACCCTCCCCAGGAGCCCTCAGCTCACCAGCCGCTCCGACATGGGGGTCTTGTCCTCGTCGGGCAGGTGCTGCTCCAGCGCCAGGACGATGCAGTTCGCGATGATGGTGGCTAAAATCATGTATTCAAAAGGAGTGGAGGGCGAGTCAAGGAAAAAAAACAAACGGAGCTGGGGGACCCCTAAGCCGCGCTGATGTGGGGGAAACTGAGGCAGGAGTGCGGCCGCGGGGTGCCCAAAGCGAGGCCCAGGCGCTCGCCGTGCCCCGGTGTCGGCGCCCCGCGTGTTCTGCAGCTCGTTAATTAATTCCCTCATCAAAGCGGCAGCCGCGGCCTCGGCTCCGCGGCGCGATCAAAGCGCCCCGGGGACAGCGGGACCCGCCGCGACCGACACGGCCCCGCTGGGCCCGCGGGCACCGGGCAGCGGCGCCCCCGCGGCTTGCCGGGACGTGTCCGTGTCCCGTCTCGCGTCCCC